ACGCTGGCTGCTGGCTACACACGGTAGCCCATGGCAACCCACTGCCACAGGGGCTGCAGCCCACGCAGTCGCCGGCGACTCATGGCAGCCCAGCTCCAGGTTGAGCTGTTGTTCAGCATCTTAGCTGTGGAGGGCAGTGTCACTGGCCCTCATATGTGGCATCGGAACCGGGGCCCTCTGGCGTCCCAAGCGAGTTCTTAACCGTCGCGCCACTCGGCCGGCCGGAGATTTTTTTTTTAATTGAACAAAAATAATTTATATAAACTATTAATAGATATCTCACTATAATATGGTTTTTAAAAGAAATCATGTATATAGTTGTATTCATAAAGGTATGTACACTAATCAGAAGCTATACAACAACATTAACAGCAAATCCAAATCCAAAGACATTCCCCGAATTCCGTGTTTCACTGAGCATCAGAAACCACCAGTCTTTTAGTCCTTTTCTTGTACATTATTCTGTATCCACATTCTCAGCATCTGATTGGATCCCTGGGTTTTACTTCATTTTCTGTGTGACATTCTCCACAGATCATCCTCTGGACGTCCTTCTGGGTGTCCACTGTCATTTCCCACTTAGCAAGGAGAAACTCGTCGCACTCTTTTCGTCGCACTCTCAAGATTTCTTTTTTTTACATACAAATAAATTTACCATTTTAACTATTTTACTGTTTAATAATGGTAACGATTTACCATTAATAATAATATATAACAATAATAAATTATTAATAATAATTAAAATAGTAATATTTTACCGGTATCGATAATATACTATTTAATAATATTAGGAATAATTATTTTACTGTTTTAATTTAAATACAAATAAAATTTACCATTTTAATGGTATGATTCATTGGCATTACATACGTTCACAATGTTGTACAATCATCCCACTAACCACCTCCAGAGCTTTTCATCAACTCAAATTGAAACTCTACCCATGAAACAGTAATTTCCCACTCCTCATGCCCCAGACCCTGGCAACTACCATTCTACCCTCTTTCTCTATAACGTTGAATATTCTGGGTCCCTCATACAAGTGGAATCTTACAATATTTGTCCTTTTGTGTCTGGCTTATTTCACTTAACATAATATTTTCAAGGTTCATCCACATTGTAGCAAGTATCACATTTCATTCCATTTTAAAGCTAAATAATATTCCGTCATATGTATATACCTTATTTTGTTTATCCCTTCATCTACTGATGAACATTTGGATTGTTTCCACATTTTGGTCATTGTGAATATCTCATTCTATTTTTAAATTTCTTTCTAAAATGGATTGTACCTGGTTAGGTCTATGGACAGTATATAAGTAATTCTTTTTCACAGTTTAATTTTCATAATTATATTTCTAAACTTTGTTAATTAAAAGGAGAAAACATCTTAGCATTATTTTAATTGATATTTCTTCATCTATTAGTCAAGCAGACCATTTTGCACTGTTTATATTTCCACTTGTGTGAAATCTGTTCCTGTTTTTCATCTTTCATATATTAGAATTTTAAGATTTTTCTTATTGCAAGAGTTTTTTTAACATAAAAATATTTCCCATTGTCAAATTTACTGCACATATTTTTCCAGTTTATTTTAGCCTTTTCATTTTGGTTAGGTTTCTTTTTGTTATAGAGAACATTTTTCATCTTAATGGAGTCAAATTTATCAGTACTTTTTAAACTATATAATTTATTTTAAGCTTAGCAAATTCCCATCAAGAGCATATTTCTTCACTGATTTTTGCATTCAACACTTTATCCATCTGGAGTTGGATATATGGTGTGAGATGATCTACATTTATTTAGTTTTTCCTAATAGCTAAGCAATTTCTATAGACACTTTTTATTGCTAGTCTTCCTTCACCTTTCTGCTACATATGACACTGCTGACCACTCCTTTTGAAAGTATGTCTACCTTTTCCTTGCTCAATCT